ACCCTGTGCACCGCTGCCCCTCGAAGCGGACTGCCCGGAGAGCGGTTCTATTTTAAGGGCCTAAATTGTTAGAAGTGAACCAGATGAGCCGGCTCGCGCGTACCCCGCGTTTTACGAACGTGTGGGCGCGGCGCCCAAAATACTCCCTTCCCAGCAAGCCTGCAATTTCCCTCTCCGCGGATTTACAGTACCGGACCTGTGGTTTCCCGCAACTCTCTCCCGGCCTGGAAAAGAGTACCGTGCGCCCGGGCCCCGGTCACCCTCCGACTGGGTGTGGCCTGGTGACCGAAAAGTCCACATAGTCGTTAAGAGGGGTCCAGCCGGCGCCATGAAGCGACCTCTTTGTACGAGACTTTCAAAGCCCTCCTTTCGCGTTTCCGCGTTCTGCCCCCTGGTGGACGCCGCGGGGACTGCGCTCCGTGCCGCTGATTGCAAACCTTGCTGAGGATCCTGCCTGCGAGGGGCAGGTGGCTCAGAGGACCTAGACCTGCCTGTGCCTGCGAACCCGGGCAACGACGGCTGTGGTCCCTGGCAAGCAGCTGTCAGATGCGGAGGTGACGTTCAGCCACGCTGACGGGCCTGCTGTCGCGGACACAGAGCCAGGTGGCTGGTGGGGACCAGTGTGACAGTCCAGAATGTTTCCAGCATTGCCCAGTGTCCCCTGGGGGGCGGGCACAGAATGTTGAGATGATTGGTAGCACAGAAAATGAGGGGAATCACTGTGAAGAAAATACCAAGTTTCTTCCTTCCCACTTTTAAATATACACCCAATCATGGAGATTATGTGCCAGCCAAAGTGAATATAAATGACTAACATGAAAATTAAGCCTAAAACATATCTAACTTAAAGTGTTTTATACTCTGGCATGTCTTCAAGTACTTCAGCAATTTTTTTTTGCACCGGGGATCGAACTCAGGGTCTTGTGCGGCAGGCTGTGGAACCTCTGAGCTAAATCCCGGGTTCTACTTTTGCAATCTTGAAATACTTTTGTTATTGTTTCTCTAACAGTAAATAAGCAATTGTGCCCTTTTTCCTTATAGTCATTTTCCCAAGTAACTATGTCAAAGTCATAGAGAACTCGAGTCCTAATTGCAGATCCTAACTGGCAATGTGAGAAGAGCTCTGTTGGCTGCAGTCTGGGAGCTCAAGATCCTCCCTACACAGTGTGATGACCGCCTTTCATAACTTGATCGAGTCCATGCCCAGGCAGTGAAGTTAAAAGATAAGCTGTAAAATGATTTTCGTACATAAGGAAACCTGGTGCTTGTCCCTGCTGGACTGTATGATGGGAGTAGAGAGTTGACACAACTAGGGTAATGTTAGCCCTGTGCAGTGGTACAGGTGTAATCCTGGTACTCAGAGGCTGAGGCAAGAGTATCTCCACCAGTTCAGGATCAGCCTGGGCTACATAGTGAATTCAAGGCCAGGCTGAACCCTTTCTCAAAATAAAACAAACAAAACAATAGGGGAAATGTTAAAGTGAAAGATGTGAGTGTATGTTCTGGGGTTTGGGGGCCAATGAGGGGCACCCCTGTCTCAGCCAGTTCAGGCACTGGACAGGTGGTGCCCAGAGCGTAGCCTTGCCACTGGTCCAATGGCCGTGTGTGTGGCCTCAGCCTACTGGCCCACGGCCTTGCTGCTGCTCTCGTCCTCAAATCAGACCCAGTGAGGGTGTGGACACGCTGGTCAGGGTCAGCAGAATGGTGGGGCCTGGTGCCTGCCGTGTCCACTGGGCTTCAGCAGGGTCCTGAGCACATTTTGTACCTCACTCGCTTTAGAGCTCAGGAGTGCCGAAGAAGAGCCTGGGGCTGGGGTGCAGCTCAGTTGCAGAGCTGCTCAGTGTGTCCGAGGCTCCTTTCCCTGGAGCACGAGTCCTGGTGAATCTCCATCTTCGGATAAGGAGGCAGGCCCAGAAATGGGGAGTGACTGTCTGTCCCCCAGGAGCCAGGGTGGAAATCCAAAGAAACGGGCTCAGAATCCTCTTCTTTTAAACTGTGCAGGAAACCCACGGCACGCAGCAGGACCCTTCATACTTCCGGTTCCGGGTGCTCTGGGGACCACTCACTGCTCCCTGACGAGAACTGTTGGTCCAGAACTACTGCAGTCACCACCCTCTGTCCCCTTGGGGTCGGCCAGAAGCACTGCTGCAGTGTCGCTTCCTCTACGCAAAAATGAGGAGGAGATCATACTTCCGGTTCCGGGTGCTCTGGGGACCACTCACTGCTCCCTGACAAGGACTGTTGGTCCAGAACTACTGCAGTCACCACCCTCTGTCCCCCTTGGGGTCGGCCAGAAGCACTGCTGCAGTGTCGCTTCCTCTACGCAAAAATGAGGAGGAGATGGAGAGGAGGTGCTTGTTCCATGAGAGAGAATTATGGGCAGCTAAACTTTTTCTCAATAATCATTCCTAGAAACCTGCCTTTGAAAAATAATTCAAAAGAACAGAAAAGCTGTATGGATAAAGATTTTTATTAAAGTAATATTAATACTAGGGAAAAAGCATCCCAGAATGGTAGACTGCAAAATGATAATTGTGAAGCCAGGCAAGGGGCACACACCTGTCATCCCAGCACTCAGGACGATGAGGCAGGAGGATCACCGAAAGTTCAAGGCTAGCCTGGCCTTCCTAGTGAGCCTGTCTCAAAAAAAGAAAAAAAAAAAAGAAAGAAAAGGAAGAATGAAAGAAAAGAAAAAAGTAGGATTACAAAATCCAAGTCCCTTTACAAGACGTGGGGTTGGGAAGAAAAGAACCAGAAGACTGAACTTGGAATAAGTTATATAAAATCAGGTGTGCTTGTTCTCTTTGACTGATGCGTGTGTAACGTTTGTGCAGTAGACATAGGCGGGAAGTCACGGTTAGTTTAGAGGGGCCCAGGGGAGCCCCGGGAACTTTCGCGCGTCTGACTGCCCCACCCTGGGCCCTGAGTGACCTGCTTCTCCCTCCCTCCTCTGCAGTACAACGGTCTGGGCGCCTGCCTGCAGGGCCCAGCGGGCGTGCCTGGACGTGACGGCAGCCCTGGTGCCAACGGCATCCCCGGTACCCCCGGGATCCCCGGCCGGGATGGGTTCAAAGGAGAGAAGGGCGAATGCCTGAGGGAGAGCTTTGAGGAGTCCTGGACCCCCAACTACAAGCAGTGCTCCTGGAGTTCGCTGAACTACGGCATAGATCTTGGAAAGATCGCAGTAAGTAAAGTCCAGACTCCCTTAAAGGTGATATAAAAGAAACCAGTTTTCATATTTGAGCATTAACTTTTAGATGAGATTATATTGTTTTTTCAACTAAAAAACATGATGAGCGTGGTGACGCACACCTGTCATCCCAGCACTTGGGAGGCTGAGGCAGGAGAATCACCTTGAGGTCAAGGCCAGCCAAAACTACAAAGTGAAACCCTGTCTCAAAAAATAAAACAAATCAACTTAAAAAACTTTCTTTTTGGTACTGGGGATTGAACTCAGGACCTTGCGCTTGCCAGGCCACTGAGCTACATCCCTGGCCCCTAAAATACTTTTTTAAAAGGTGAAAAACAGCATATGACTTTCAACTCAAATTTCAACTCAATGGAAAAGTGATAACATTTCTGAGTTTACTTTATAAATGTATTCTAAGACAAATAAATCACCATAGATTTTTGAACCATAACATCTAAAATAGCTTTTTAATGCAAAAAAATAAAATGAGAACACAGGTCAGATGGTAAGCCACTTGCTAATTCTTGTCCTAAAGTGCACTTAAATTCAGGTGGTCTAGGGAACTCTGCTGTGGCTTCAGACCTAAAGGTAGGAAGAAATTTCCAGGAACCTCCACATGGTAGGAACTATCTGCAGAAGGGAGTCTGCAGTGCCGGTCCTTCCTCTGACCGGTACCCTTAGGGACCCAGCGGGAGGTGTGCAGGACTGAATTACCTTCGGCACTTGGTGGCCTGGATTCCCCATGCAGTCACCTCTGCTTTTGCAAGACCAGCAGGAGGGGCAGGCGTGAGGAGCTGGTACCCTTTGTAGCCTCTTTCTTCTTTTGGGACCAGTTCCCTGCTTGGGCCACGTGTGTTGCTTAATACTTCCTACTTTAGTGACCACTACCACTGGGCAAGTGGAAGAGATTTTATGTTCATGAAACTCATGTTTTTAAATGCAGTCTGTGCATTATTCCTGCTCCTTAGCTCAGCTCTTTCTGCTGTTATCTGTGAAGGAGTTGGGTAACTGGATTTCCATGTGGCTTCCACAGTTTTGGTGACAATGACCTTTTCCCTTTTCATGTGTGATTTCTTTTTTTGGAACGGGGTCTCACTATGTAGCTGAGACTGACCTGGAACTCACCATGTATCCCAGGCTGGCCTTGAACTCATAGTGATCCTCCTGCCTCAGCCTCTTGAGTGCTGGGATGACAGGCGTGTGCCACCATGCCCGGCTTGTGTGATTTCTTAGAAAGCATTTTGTCAAAATGTTGCCTGATTACTATTATTTTTGTTTTATTTTTTTGAGGCAGGTTCTCCCTTTGTACTTCAGGCTGGCCCTGAACTAACTATGTAGCCCAGGCTGGCCTCGAACTCATGGTGACCCTCCTGCCTCAGCCTTCCAAGTTCTGGGATTACAGGTGTATGCCACCATGCCTGGCAATACTGCCTGGTTATTAAACACCTGACATTGATAGATTGGTTGCTTATTTATAGTTATTGATAAGGAGTGTCAAAAGTTGCTGTGTTCTATCAGCGATCCTATGGATTATAAATCACTAATATGTCTTCAAGCTTCTTTCAGCAGTGGTCAGAACATTTTACCAGAGCCTTTCTGCAAGCAAAAGTGGTCCAACAAAAACCCAAAGACAAGACAGATGGTGCACAGGCCAATTAGAGAGAGAAAAACATTTAGGTCTTACGGTTTCGTGGTAGAGGCGAAGGCTAAAGCCGGCCTCTCTTCCCCTCAGCGCACTGCTTGCTTAAGCTCAGAAAGGGCGCGCGGCCCAGGGTAACCTTGCGGGAGGCAGACGCGCCCCTTCCTGAGCTGCTGTCACTGCATAAACCGTGTACTTGGCCCTTGGCTGTCATTTTTTAAACAAGAAAAATGGACCGGTTAGGTCAAAAGGACTGGCATTGGATGGTTTGGTAAAATGAAAAGAAGCACTAAATGGAGCAAAAAAAGAGGAAAAACCATACTTTGGTTTGTTTAAAACAGCCTCCTACTGTTGGGTCGGGAGTCTCCTCTGTGAAAGTCGCGCTTTGGAAGTGGCCTGAGGTGCGGTGGTTAGGGCCGCCCGGCTCACCCCGCTCACCCTCTGTCCCGCAGGAGTGCACCTTCACCAAGATGCGCTCCCACAGCGCGCTGCGCGTCCTGTTCAGCGGTTCGCTGCGGCTCAAGTGCAGGGGCGCCTGCTGCCAGCGCTGGTATTTCACCTTCAACGGGGCTGAGTGCGCCGGGCCGCTCCCCATCGAAGCCATCATTTACTTGGATCAAGGAAGCCCCGAGCTGAATTCAACAATTAACATCCACCGCACTTCTTCCGGTGCGTATGGCGGTGCCGCGAAGAGTTGGGCCCGGGTCTCACTGTCACGCCGGCCGTGCGCGCTCTCGCTTCTCCACCGGGCTGCACTGCAGAATCACCTAGGGATCTCTCACAAAAATGTGCGATGCCTGGGCGCCATCCCTAAGGGCCGGCTCGATCCCCTTGGGCCTCTGTCTTTGACACAGGGTGTTGCTGTGCAGTCCAGGCTGGTCTTGAACTCATGGCACCGCTCCTACATCAGCCTCGGGGCTGATCACAGGCGTGCGCCACCACGCCCTGCGACCTAGCATACATATTTTATAAAAGATCCTGTGGTGATTCTGATGACCAGGGTTGAAATCTCCTTATCCATGCTCCTTCGCAGCTGGGAGCTTGGAAGATGTCCGCGGATGGGCCGCGCGTCTGGGAAGCCGGACTCCAGGCTGTGGGTGCAGCCCGGACAATAGGGTTTCCCACCCAGCCCCTCCTTATGTAAAGCCGGGCTGTCTTTGTGATTGAGTCAGAAAGCTTCCCCTCTCTCTCACAAACATGAGCTGGAGAGGAAGAAGCCACTTCCCTGCTGAGTAGCTCCCTAAAATATGAAAAATCGAGATACCATTAGCCACTAGTTGATACAAACAAGTGCTTTCTGTGATATTATCTTTAAAAGTGTGTTAATATCTTTCTGTAGTGCAAGCCTTAGGTCCAGGGGCTGTGGCTCACATATGCATAAACTTTATAAAGCTTTTACCAAAGCATTTGCCTAGCAGTGAGCGGCGCAGGAACACATTTGATATGATCAAGTGGGTGGACTGTCACAAGTAATCTGTTGTGAATAACAGTTTCTACTTAAATTGACTTGCTGGTTACTCTACACTGAGCTTCTTTCTTGAGGGAAAGGACAGCAGGGCGCTGTCAATTGTCGCGTGAGAGGAGGACAGCAGCTTGGCCGGGCCAAGGTTTGACAAATCTTTGATTGTCGTCTCTCACCCGCGTCCAGGTCCAGAACTCTAAATCCTACGTATTTTAGGTGCCAGACAAGCTGCCATGCTGCGTTACCACAGCCAACTGTTGACGCGCCCTTGTTCAACAGACATGGCTTGGTTTGTTAGTGGTCACGAGGTGACCCTTTGGCTCTCTGTGTGTGGGCCGGAGCGTTTCTGACCCGAGAGGCTGTAGGGTGGTGAATGCAGGTTTCCAGGCCGTGAATGGCGAGGCTTCGGGAAAACACGAGCACTGCTGGGCATGTTCACCGGCTCGCAGTTCACATGCCCACTGCCCACTTCTCCTGACAGTGAGAGGCCTGAGCCAGGGCCAGCTGCGGATCCTAAAGGGAAGCCCTGTTCTCACTCACATGGCAGCTGTCAGAGGCATCTCCTCAGCTGGGAGGCCCCGAACGGAAGTGGAGCCACGCACGGCACTCCCTGCGCTCCAGGACTCATCTTCCCAAGGAGCCTCCCACCCAGTTCCTTCCCCCACAGACACCGCAGGCGACGTGTCTCTCAGCCTGGCGTAGGACCGTGAGTGTCAGATGTGGGAGAGATGGAATGCAGGCTGCACGTTCCCATACGGAAATTGAGAGGGCGTGTGAAAAGATGCATGATGGTAAATAAAGCATCAGAACAGAGAAGTAAAGCAGGGCTTTTGGTTTTTGGATTTTTTACTGGGAGGAAATTCTATGTAAGACGGGATTCCCAGAATGAAGAGCCGTATGCTAGAATTTCCTCCTGCTAGTGTTACAGTGGCCCTTTGTTCTGGGTGAATAGCATCAAGGATACAGACAGGTGGTAGGAAGAGCCTTCCACAAAAAGCCTGGAATCTCTTGGGTCAGGCCTCTGGCAAAGTTGGGAGGTCTTGGCTTTAAAAGTGTAGGCTTTCTTTGTCTAGTCAGATAAAGTGCTTTTTGGTTTTAGGACATCTCTGTACCTAAACCAAGTATAGCTTTATGGTTGAAACCTGCAGGAAAACCGCCTGTTCAGCTTACATTGAACAGCATCTTTGAAAAGCTGTCAGCACCTTTAAAAATATTCATATACCAACTGAGAAAAAAACTTTACGATGAGGCCTTTATCATATATTAGAATTTTAAATTAGCTTTCCAGTGAACAGAACTGTCGTCCAGCTTTCTGAAGTCAATGCAGAGTGAGTGTCTCTGCTCTCATACTAAAGAAAGCCCGGCTGTGCTGTGTCTTGCAGTGGAAGGACTCTGCGAAGGGATCAGCGCTGGCCTCGTGGACATCGCCATCTGGGTTGGGACCTGCTCCGATTACCCCAAAGGAGATGCCTCCACAGGCTGGAATTCTGTGTCGCGCATCATTATCGAAGAACTGCCCAAATGAACCCTTTCAGTTTCGTTCTCTACCTCCTTCTGTAATTATACCTTCGAACGGTTCCTCTAAATGGTATTTGAAAAAGTGTATACATATACATCTAAGTGGAAAACAAAGGTAGCCATGTTTACAGACCGAAGTGTAATCTCACACAGCTTCTAGATCTAGTTTATCCATTTTACTTCAACCAAATCTGGTGTCAGGGTCTTAGACGACCAGAAGACCTTCTTCATGTTCCCGTCCCCTGAACCGTGGTTTGGAATTCCATGTGGTGCTTGGTTTTTCCTGTTCTCCTAGTGTAGCAGTTTTAAAGATAAAAAAGTTACCAGTCTTTCTACAAGTTGTGTGTAGGATTCTTTTACATCTGTTAAATAAAACACATTTCAAATGACTTTAATATCTTTAACCTACCTGCCATTCAAGTTGGAGTTGCTGGCACTTGATATCTGAAAGGCTGACTATAAATCTAATTTTGTGTTTATTCCTTCAACTATTGATATATGAATTTTTAGTACATGTATACTGTGGTTCTGCATTGTGAAGGATACAAAGAAAAAAGGTGTTTAGTTCTCAGGAAACATGAGCACTTTAAGAGTTTAACAAAGAATAGAAAAGACACAGAGTTGGACCTCAAACTGCTTACTTAGTATAAAGGATCAAACATATATAAAAATAAAAGTGTTGAAGAGAGTGGTAGAGATCAAAGGAAATACAGTCACTCTGATCAGAAAAAATTCCTGCAGGCTGGACAGGCGTAGACTGATGAACATAAGTAGATTTTGGGGCCCAGCATGGGCTCATGAAGGCCTTTATCTTGGACACAGCTGGAAAACAATAAGGACAAAGTTGCCTGGCTTTGTTTACAGGAAAGGCCCAGGAGCATTGACCAGCCCTGTGGAGTTAAGGATCCCTGACACTTGAGTGAGTGTGTCAGCTATTTGTGTATGTGACAAAAGACCTGAGAAACTGTAGCCGAGAAAGTTTTATCTGGGCTCAGTTTCAGAGCGTTCAGGTCATGGTCACTTGGTTCTTGCTCCTGGGCTTGTTGTGGTCAGCAGAATATCATGGTGAGGAGCAGAGAAACTTGCCTCATGGCAGACTGGAGCCAGAGAGGAAGCAGCTGGCATCAAATCACAGCCCCAAGGTGACACAGGCCCCAACCCCAACTTTCTTCAAGTAGGCCCCCTGCCTAAGTTTTCATTACCTCTCGATACTACCATCAGATGATGAACCCATCAAAAGATTAACCCACTGATGAGTTAATCTATTCATCCATGGGATCCATGACCCAATCACCTTCCAAAAGCCAAGTGACCAAACACATGTCCTTTAGGGGACTTTTAGATCCAAACCCTAACAGTGACACTAGCTCTGGAGCAGGAAATGTATCATAGAAGCCTGGAATACCTTGTACTTCTGGAAAATGAGGTGACCAGGGAAGATAATGCAAAAGGTGCTGAGGGGCCGGTTGAATTGCTCCGCTGGCAAAGATGACTTGACTGACTCATCAGTAAAGGTAACTGTGACAGCTTGAGACCTACACACGTGTTCAAATGCACGAGTTCCTAATGTGTCCAAATAAAGTCTGGAATGCCAGCAGACCAACTTACACTTCCAAAATTCGTAAATAGAATCAGTATCTATTGTTTTGTTTTGATTTTTGGTACCAGGGATCGAACTCAGGACCTTGTGCTTGTGAGGCAGGCAGTGGAACCACTGAGCTAAATCCCCGGCCGTATTCTGCCTTCTTTATTATGACCTGTATCTCCAAGTAACCAAATTGTTTATGAAGGAAAACTTTCTATCATCTATAAAATGGATGTTGGGAAATGGGAAGAAGGTGTTCAATGGGAAAGGGGAACAAGGCAGGAGGGAAAAAGGAAGGAAGAAGGAACAAGAAAAAAGTGAAACTAGACGGAAAAAAGGAAACAAAGCTTCTGTACATAGGGGAAGGGGGCTTGAAGAGCGAATGGGGTAAAATAAAATTCATTAATAAAACATCTCTTATCTTTCATCTATCTTATCTATTATCTACCTTTTATCTATCTATCTTCTATCTATCTATCTGTCCAAAACAAGGTCTTGCTATGTAGTCCAGGCTGGCCTTGAGCTCACTGTGCAGTTCAGGCTGTACAAATTCATGGAGTCACTAAGGGTTTGGCTGGACTTGGAGGGAAGAGACAAAGAGGGCTGCTGAGAAACCTGACAGGCCCAGAATAGATCTGATTATGAGGATTTATGTCCTACCAACCCCTACCCATGTGCCCGGGGAGGCTGCGCATGAGAATGAGGACAGAATCACACATGTGGGTATCTGAGGATCAGATTAATATCTGGCTGAGTCAGGAGAGCTGCACCCATCTCTCATGAGAAAACTCCGAGGCCTACTAGGGCTGGAATAATCCGCCCCCTCAGGTGTGTAGAGATCCGACCTTAGACAGATAAACGTCCCTCTCAAAAACCTCTAAAGTCCTGACTGCATTCGCCTCGCCCCTAAAGCTAATCCAAAAACTAACATGTGGCCAATAACGATGTGCCAAATATCCCGACTTCACCCTGGTTCCGCCCCTGCCTTACCCTATCCAATGGCGATCCAGTAGTGTCATCCTGGCTCCACCCCCGCCTTACCCTATATAAGCTTGTGCATTTGCTGAATAAAGCGGAAGTGTTCTAGAAACCTCCCCGGAGTGTGCTTGGTGGGCCTTGCCCTCCCAGTCCGGGACCCTGAATCTTGTTTCACTGAGGAAAACAACAATTGTCGCCCAACCAGGGGACTCGCGTATACTGGGTAAAGATTGAAGTATCGGGTGAGGATCCCATCACGGGTAATGTCATGAGTCAAGAACGGTGGTACAGGCCGCCTTAGTAAAGGGTCCTCATGCCTTAAAGGCGCCCAAGGCATTTCCAGCCCAAACTCAGGTGAGTGTAGGGCCCCCTGAGCGCTCTAAAGGTGGCGGACAAAAGCCTCTTAAAAAAGCTGGCACGGGTGGGCTGTCTCTTCCACTTTCTTCTTCCCCAGAAGCGTCAGCCCCACCTGGTCTCACTTCCGGTCAAACCCCCTCCTCACTGGAATAATGGTCATCCGGAAGAGCCTGCCTTTTCCGGTCCAAGAAGGCGGCCTCCACCCGGTGCGCTGCCATCTTTCTTGGAGGAGGAGGAGAAACTACTTTGATCGGGCCTTAGGATGGCTTCGTTGTCCTCGGCCTCCGGGCCGCCCATCCTCCTCCTCCAAAGTCCGGTCCGGCGCACCTGAGAGCTCCAAAAAAGTTTCAGAGTGAAGTCCTGCAGCTGCGTGGCTCCTGGGCCTGCTGAACCGGGAGGGAAGCCTGGTCGGGGCCGAGTCCGACAGCTATGCAGTGGCTGAAGGTCCTTTTGTCTTCCCCGGCCTCCGCTGTCCTTGCCTCCCACTGTGGATCCCGTGGCCCAGGCTGCTCTTGGTCCCGCTCTCCGGGGGCGTTAGGGCCCAGCAGGGCTGAGTGGGTTGCAAGCCTGGGTCAAGGCCAGCGAGATGGGGGCTGTGCAGTCCCTGGCCCCATGTGGCTGCTGAGCGCCCAAGAACAGCCTTCTTGCCGCAGTGCCTTCGTCCTGGACAAATCGGCAAGTACCTAACCCCCTATCTATCTCGTTCTACCTTCCCCTTTCATGTTCGTTTTACCCCTTGTATTGATCCTTCTTTGTTTAATCATACAGAAACTTGGAGTTTATATTTTGCTAGAACACCCCCGGCCGTTTGGGTCCCTGTTGATCTCCATATGGAATGAGAAAATTCAGATCTTCTCTTTAATCTTGGGCTTAATCCCCGACGTAAAAGATTTTGAAGTTTCCGCCCTTATTGTTTCCATGGTGGCAGCTATTTCTGCCACAATGGCAACAGTCACTTCACAAAATCAAGTGCCGACAGCAGCAATGGTCAACCAGCTACCCTGCTATTTCAAGATGTCCGCACAGCTGTACTCAATTTACAGCCAGTTAAATTTGGTTTGGGAGGAATTAATACCCAGGAGTTAGATGTTGTAACTTTAAATAATGTGTGGGCTACCATTTGGTCAAAAATTCAGGCTGGATGGAATAATTTGAGTAGTTGGATACGTGGATTGATGTTGGGATCCCCATATGTATTAACCTTGTTTGGCATATTGTTATTGTTCTTTAAAGATCAGATGTGCCAGTAACAATCATAAAAGTGTGGTCCTTTAGGCTGAGGCTCTGGAGTCAAGGACAAAAGGGGAACTGAGGATCAGGTTAATGTCTGGGTGAGTCAGGAGAGCCACACCCATCTCTTTCATGAGAAAACTCCGAGGCCTGTTAGGGCTGGAATAATCCGCCCCCTCAGGTGTGTAGAGATCTGACCTTAGATAAACTGTTCCTCTCAAAAACCTCTGAAGTCCTGAGTCCGTTCTCCTCAGCCCCTAAAGCACGCAATCCAAAAACTAACCTGTGGCCAATAACCACGTGCCAAATATCCCGACTCCACCCCGGCTCCGCGGAGTCTGCTTGGTGATTCCACACCTTGCCATCCTAGTCCCGGCCCCTGAACCTTATTCCGCCAGCGGGCTTCCGGACAAAAACAACAGGTGTCAGTTTTTCCGGGTGCTTTAGAGAAATATGACACAAAAGGGGCCCCCAGTGCTCAGTTCATTAAGGTGACATCCATTTCACAGAAAAGAGGCCACCGTCGTGACAGATTGGAAAGTGCAGGGTAGCACAGGCTCTCCGTGGAGGGGGCTTTCCGTGGCGGCAGGTCATAAACACCCAAAGAGACTGGTTTCTCAGGAGAGATTTACTGTTCAGTCAGTTGGAAACTCCTGAGAAGGCCGGGGATTTAGCTCAGCGGTTTGGTGGCCTGCCTTCCAAGCGCAAGGACCCGAGTTCAATTCCCGGTACCAAAAAAAAAAAAAAAACAAAAGAAAACTCCTGAGGTAGGAACTGCCAGGGAGGAAGGCGACCCGGAACCCTGTACCGTGGGACTCAGAACTTCGCGTCCTTCTTCCAGTTTCCACTGCTCCTTCTGTGACACTGACACCATCTGGGACACACTGTGCCCAACTCATGATCTCAAACTGGCTCTCAGGAGATCCGTGAGCTACACGTGTGCTCACTCCTGCAGCAGCGAAGAGCATCTGCGTCCGCGTGCGGAGGAAACGGGCCTTTGTGAGAGCCGCTTTGGCCGGAGGAGGTGACCGCGCCGGTTCTGAACTGTTCACCACTAGGCTCGGAGTCAGTGTGCTCCAGCTGACCCTGCCCGGCGGGTGCTCTGGGCAGGTGAAGTTGATTCCGTCTAGATCAGAAAGCTGAAGAGGGCAGAGGGCAGTTTCCAAAAAGAAATTCCGGCCAGCTCTCCAGGAAGAAAGAAGTGGAGACTGGGCAGCCAGTGGCGGGAATGCATTGCTCGTACTTGTAGAGTCTATTTCTTATTTATCCCTTCAGAAAGAAATGGAAGTTTTAAGTGATATCCTGCACATTACCTAACACATTTTTATAAAACAGCATAAAGGTTAAGTAAAGAAGCTCACAGTATTTTATTTCCTGAAGCTGTTTTATAATCACTTGAGACTTTGCTATAAAAGTGCTAATGATACGTACTTTCTGGAGAACGTTATTTTTATTGGTGTCCACATCCAACAGAAAAACCGAACTCCGAAGACCCATGAACTCATACGTCCCGTTAAGTGGCTTCCCTTTTGACTGTGATGTTTGGAGGTGACTTCTAAATACCGCCGGCCACAGAGGCACCACCTTCTCACAAGGTGTGGCACCCTGCGCTGCCCGTGGCTGCCGTCTTCGGTGCACGGCTGCCAGGCGCCCTTTTGGTGTTTGTTGGCCTCTCTCTGTATCTTTAAGGGCTCCCCGATAGTCGTGTTCTGATTTTTCCTTTGCCGACCTCCCCCATCTCCTGTCTAAATTCACAGTACTTTCTCAGGCTTAAACTTCTCCACCTTTCCTTTATCTGCTGAAGTCCAGCAGAGGTCTGGAGGACAGGAACCCTGCAGCCACCCCCCGGCCCCCGTTTCTGTAACGTGAACCTGCCTGATGCCCATGGGCAGCCACCCCCGTCCACTGAAGTGTGATCCTGGCTGGTGACTCCCTCCACGTCAGCTTGCCGTCTGCTCAGTTCCTGCTCTGCCACCTAGGATGTGGCTTTGTCCTAATTACTTTCAGTTTAGCAGGGCCGAGTCCTCATGTTCTGGCTCCGGCCCGACAGCTGCCCTGGCATTTAATGCACCTACTGGGGACTCGCTGCTCTCGGGGCCTGGCCCTCCTGCCACGGCTGCCGACATGCCCTGCAACAGCTCCTCCCCTGGTCCAGCTCCCGTTTCACCCTCGTGAGCCCTGTGCAGTTCCTGTCAAGCTGTGAAGCGCCCGACTCCATTGACGTGTGTCTAGCTGCCACCAGCGCTTGCCTGGGTACTTGTGACTTCTGAACCAGTCCTGTCCGCCCTCTGCCCACACGATTGCCAGGGGCTCTCGACACACAAGTGTCTTTCTGACAAGGCTTGCGAGTTCCCTGGCCCAGCTCCACACCTCTTGGACCGCCTGTTAGACCTGTCACCAGCCCCTAGCTGCTGACACTCCCCTCTACCCTTGTTCTGAAGCCATCCTGGGCTGGGGCACCTTCTACAGCCAGGAGCCCGCCTCGGGAGCCTGACAGCCAGGGCCGGTGGGACGCCCTCCCACCTTCTCCCCTCAAAGCCAGCCTGGCTCGTCCCAGGCCCTGGTGAGGCTGCTTCTCCGGAGGAGTGATGTGTGCGCTTGAGGAGAGGCCATGTCTCACGTGAATCTCCACAGACCAGTCCGTGCTATATTGGTGAGACACGAACAGGCTATGTGGACAAGAGTGCTCTGGTACGGAGAGCTCTATTGCTGGACAGGAGAGACTGGGCCCAGTGTTTCCACAGGAAGCAGAGTCCCAGGAAATTCAGGCCAGAATTCTGGGGGTTATGTTGTTATAGAGGATGACATGACAGTGTTTGAATGAGTGCAGATTTCTGTACACACAAAAAATAAGACGCCCCTGAAAATAAGCCCTCCTGCACCTTTTGGAGCAAAAATTAATATGACTCAGTCTTATTTTCAGGGAAGTGTGGCTTATCTTTCTACTTGACTAATAGCACTGCATATAACTGAAATATAATCCAGAATTAAGAATACATCACACTTACAAAATATTCCTGTCCATGTTACAAGATATTAAATATAATAAGGTACTTATCATTTCATATTTATTTTAAAAACAATTCAATTTCCAGTATATAAAAAATAGTCCTGTCTTCAAAAACCCATTTAAATATGGCTTTGAAAACACCAATGTTCTATTTACAACAAACAGGAGTGCAACACAGCACTTCACAGATGTTATAGTAAATAAAATACCAGTATTACTCTGCCTTTTTTTCTTTTTTGTGGTTCAGTGGGCTGAATTCAGGGCTTTGCAACTGACGTACATCCCCAGTTCTTTTCTTTGGAGATAATGTCTTAAGTTTTCCTGAGGCAACCATCCTGCCTCAGCCTCCCAGAGTGCTGGAATTACACCACATTTGGCTTACTGAGATCCTTCTGGGATCGACCTTTGTGTTTATAAACATCTATAGTAACTTATTTTAAGTAAACTCAGTAATGGCCATTAACTTAATTTGTGTTTCACTTTAACTTATATTGGTGGTTCAAATTCATTTATTTGAGATCTGGATCCATAAATCCAAGTGAAAGGAGTTTCTCGATTTCCACTGTTAACAAACATTTCAAACGTTTCAGCATCTGCATTTCTGACAAGTGATTTACAGCCTAAAGAAAGGCTGACACAGCTGCACCCTAAATGTTCAGATTTTATAAACTGAAACCCTAAGTACTCATTCCAGAAATAAAAAGAAAGTAAAAGCCTCAAGTCAGGACTATGTTCTAAACTACGGCGGTTCCTCTGCAGTTAACCATGAATGCGAACAGACGGCAGACGTTTCTCAGAGCAGCGAGTGCGTTCCCGGGGAGCTGAGCTGAAGTGCACCCGAGGGCTCTCTTCTCACCAGTAACAACTCGGCCCGGGCAGGGGAGGGCGCACCCCAGGTCAGGGGGAGCCCTGACACCCTTGGGCGGCCCCGGGCTTGCTACTGCACAAGGTCAGCCTTAGAGCCAGCCAAGGCGGAGATCAGAAAAAGCAGCGTTTACAAAGGCTGCAAGTCCACCTCTGCTTTCATGATGAAATGGGGGCGGACGTGCAGAGGCAGTCGAGTCCCGTACAGGTGCAGAAGGCAGACTACAGAAACGGTGCGAGGACTCGCAGTTCTGCTTACGAGCTGCTGTGCGGCGCTCTCCGCCCGAGCTTGTTACCGCCTTGTGCAGAGGTACACGATTATTTTCTTTTAGCTTACTCTCTCTTCTCGAAGGTTGAGTAGGAAATGTGAGACATTTTCATAGACCACAAAGGTAATACAGCAGGCTGGAGTCACTCTTAGCAGATTGGGAGCGATGCCTTTGTAAAATCCACCAATACCTTCTTTCCTTTAGAGGGAAAAATAGACATATGCTTAATTTCTTAAAAAGCAAGGCTGAAAACACAAGACTTTACCAGACACAGGGCATGGAGTGAGCAGCAGACCTCACCTTCCAGTGCACTGAAGGAATGCAGTTTACGTATTTCTTTCACGAACTGAGGGAGAAGGTGGGAGTCTCAAAAATAAACTGGCAAGTGTTTTAAATTAACCAGCTTTAATACTTTTAAGTTAATACACATGCAGGGGTTTGAAATGATCTCACACGGGCCTTAAAGCTCACACCTATGTGAACACTACACAACAGTCAATTCAGCACACACACAAAGGAGACATTGTCTCTTTAGTGCACAGAACAGTGATGGTGAACCTTTCAGAAACACATGCCCACCGTGGCACACATGCCACCGGTTCACCACCACTAGCCTACAATGGGACAGGACCTAGAAACCTGCCACGCACGTTCAAGGCACTTTCACAAGTCTCATTTTATATATTTTTGGCATAGGGTGTCATTAAATTGCCCAGGCTGGCCTCTTAACTAGTGATTCTCCTGCTTCAGCCTCCTGAGGAGCAGGGATTAATATGCCCAAACCACCACGCTCAGCTTTAATTCTATTTTTATAACAACTCTTGTCAGCCCACGTAGTCTAATTTTACAAATGAAGGACTCAAGCCTTACAGGGATTAAAGGGGAAGCAGAGCCCATCAGCCGTTAATCGGCACAGGCAACTGGTTTTTGCTGCGCAAATGTGTCAAGCGGACAAGGAAAAGACGTAAGGCAGCTCCTCGGCCTCGGACCTGCTGGCTCACCTCCATGTCCTGGCGATCACGTCCACCACCCCGCTGTAAGACACGTGCTGATCCTGCAGACGGGCCCGCACCACCTGGTATGGATACGTGGCTGCCACTGCAAATATTTTGGAAAGTGCTGCGACACATATGTATTCTGCTGTGCTCTACAGTGACAAAAAGAATGCTTTTCCATAAAAATCACAGAAAATTTCACTTAAAAGAACTGTTAAGTGAAAAATAGTATCCCACCCCATGCAGATTTTGTGTGATTATGTGTTCCGCCTGTGTGTCATCGGCTTAGAAAACCCTTACAGCACAGCGGTGGCAGAGCCCGGGCTGCTAGGGCAGCACACAGCCTCCCACAGACGCCGCGGCACAGGGCTCTCACCAGCTGTGCTTCCGGCTGCCGCTCGAGATGCTGGTTGTACTTCAGCTTCAGCAGCTCGTAGGCCATGAACTGAAGGGCCCCGTGGGACGTCCCGAACAGCCCAGGGACAAAGCCCTAGGGGCACAGAAAACAGCAAAGTCAAACAGCTTTCCAGGAAGTGTGGAAGGGAAACACTGTCTCTCTTCTTACTATAGTACTTAAGGAAAATTCATTTAAGTTTTGTATAAATCACAGGCTCTTTATTTTTTAAACTAAGGCTTACATTTTCCTGTGTTAGTTTTTCTTTCACTAGTACACATATAAAGATGACCTACGCTGTCAGGAACTGGGTATGAGAGGGAGGCTAAGTTCTGGAAAACAGCTGACGGCAATGACAATTCAAGGCACTGAACAAATACTCTAAAACAGCGTGGCAAATGATCGAAGAAATACAACAGTCCATTCATTTCTACAATTGTGGCCCCTAGGTCAGTAATTCATAACACTAAGCTGACTTTAAAAGCTACTGCGCGTTACTTGAAAACACTAAAATTCAATGAGCCTCATTTTCATTTTAAACTCTGGGTGACCTAAAAACATTTAACAGGGTTATGCACAGGTAGGAGTGACAGGCAGGAGGGTGGGAGACCGGAAAGAGAAGAGGAGTTACCAATGGAAGACATTTCAAACCGACCAGGACTAGGACTGCAAGGAGCGAGGGGTTCTGTTACGTTTATTCAGTGAATGTAAGATCTGAGGTGAATACAGTCCCCAGGAAGATAAGCCCGACTCACGGAAGAGGAACCGGCAAAGTCTCAGCTCCCTGCTGCCAGGTTGTGACACATCTAGGGCTGTGAGCGAGCAGCTTAGGGTGAAGTGTGACCTCACACGCCAGATTTCCGTTTTCACTAAACGGTGTCCTACCTATGTTTGGCCTTTTTTAAGGACTGATTACAGAGCAAGAGAAAGTGAGACAACAGCACCAACACAAAGTCCAATTTTCAGCCGTCCAAAGCATACTGGTGACTCATTACCTTATACAATCCGCGCACACCTTCATACTTATATATTTTCACAAGTGTATCAAACATTCCTTTGTATCGCTGCTGTGTGGAGTTAACACCACCGTACTGTAACATAAGGCGCGTTTTCGTTACCCATAATGGGTTGGTAATGCAGAGGGTCATGGCTCCTAAAATCAGATTTAAACAAGGCTATTCAGCATACAGGTACCAGACATTTGGTCGGTCAGTCGGTCAGTCAGGAAAAGTCTGTGGGCGCATGGGGCTGCGCGGGGTGAATGAGAAGGGAGCGGCACTGCCGACACCGCCCCCGAGGTACGGATGGCAGAGCTGCCCTGGCTGCTGAGCGCTGGTCTGCGCAGAGGAAGGGCGCAGACACGGCAGACCGCAGGAGGCGACTGCTCCAGATCCAAAATCAACTAGGCAATGCAGTAAGTCACCCTCTACAGAAAGTGACAGTTTATAAAAAGAAGCATTTAAGCAAATGAAAAAGTTTCTTATGTACTGAGTTTCCTATGGAGGCATTTATTAAAAAATATTTATTGAGTCCTGTTAGGATTCAGGTCTCTGGTAGCAGCTACTTATTAAAAATGAGTAAGACAGGCCAGGGTGTAGCTCAGTGGTTCTGCCGCCTGCCTCACAAGTGCAAGGTCCCGAGGTTTGATCCCCAGTACCAAAAAAAAAAAAAACAAAAAAAACAAAAACCAAAAAAACAGTTCTTGCTTTAAAATCAACCAGCAAACATTAAGAAACCAAGACATCAAAGGAGGATTTATAAAAACTCCTGGGTCTTACTTTGTTCTTCCTTCTGGATAGCACACACATATAAGGACATGAAACAAGACTACCAGATTGTATAATATGAAAACTGAAACTATAAAGAAAGGTACACCAAATCTTAACATCAGGGATTCAAAACTTTCCTAAATTCCCTCCCCTTTTCTTGTGGTAACAGGGATGGAACTCAGGCCCCTTCCCTGAGCTACATCCCCAGGCCTCTTCAATAAGCTCAAGCTTATTGAGGCTCCTGCCTCAGCCTTCCAAAGTTCTGGGATAAGTAAAGTTTTTTAAACCCATCAAGAGTATTCAGTAAGAAGACCCATTTTCTAAGAAGTTTGACATGGTACCTAACTAATATAGCTCGATAAGCATACCTAAGTTCTGGTGTTCAAAGAGGAAAACATGGAAGTCTGCTTGGAAGGTGGCGTTTCACAGCTCACACAGTGCCTTACCAGCTTCAGCAGCGGAGATGAGGTATTCTGTTGCCTCTAACCGTTCGGATCGTCCTTCTGTCTTGTACGATTTAATGGCATTGTAACTAGAAGAGTTAAACATGAACAACTGAAGGAGGTGTAAGAAGAGCCCGTTTTAATGGGTAAATAACTCAGTGACACTGGCTGCGGAGTGCAGGGGATGGGATGCAGGTGAAGGACGAGACCCTATTTAAGAATGGACACACTTCAAAGGGCATCGCTACGCCCTCACACACGGCAGTCAACCCGGAAACCAGGAAACGGAGAAGCCAAAGAGGCACCCAATAAACGTGGGTGGCGCACCTGTCTTCAGGTATCACCTGCCTTTCTCACAGATGGAAGACAATATATGCAGAGCGCTTTCTTCACGAGGGCAACCCCTGGCACGCACACAATCACAACAGAAAACACAGTGCTGCAAGGAGCCCCAGACCACAGCTGAGGTCACAGAGGCCTAGGTACAAGACAGCACTGAGCTGCGCACGGAGACGGGAATGGCTCAGTGGGAAAGAGGTGAGTGTGGGGGCAGTGACAGCAAGACACGGAACTCAAGCTTGGGCTTCTCCCGCTTCAGCCTCCTGGATGCTAGGATTATAAGTGTGCACCATCATGCCAAGACAGGCCTGTTACTCCTAACCACAATTTCACCGTGCTCCTTGTCAAAGATCACCAGTATCTCTAAGATACCTCTGCTGTAAGAACTCCTCACCACACAAGCCTCCCATTCCTATGACTCGCCCTTAGAACTTGAGAATCTCCACACCGCAGACTCACAGATCACACACGTGTGTGGGGAGAGACATGCGTACAGCTCCACCTCTCTATATACAGTCTTGAGAGAAAATAAGAAACATACTTAAATAGTACTGAGGTTCAATTTTTTGGGGGGGTTTTTTTGAGACAGGGTCTCATTCACTGTGTAGTTCAGGCTGGCCTTGAACTCACTATGTAGCCCAGGCTGGTCTCGAACTCACAGCGCTCCTCCTGCCTCAGCCTCCCGAGTGCTTGGATTACAGGCGTGCACCACCAGGCCAGGCCACTAAGGTTGTTTTATTTTGCCTTCACCTAAAGAACGTTTATGACTGGTTTGTCTCTCTCCTCAGGGCATCTGACAGAAGCTTCTTCAAGTGACAATGCCACCTGAGAGCTGAAGGCGTTGGGGAGGTGGCGGAGCAGGTACAGAGGGGCAACGCCTGCCTCGGCCTGCTGTTCCTACGAAAGGCCCCATGCTTGTGCTTCCTGAAGGACCCGGACCTGTCCCATCCTGCCCGCCTTGCTCCACTGGGACCTTTCTCCAGGCCATTCAGACGCTGGGGGGACCCCGGCAAGGAGCTAAAGTCCCTTAAAGTCCCTCCCTCACAGTATTCTCGGACTGATGGAATGTCCCACTTAGGTGACACTCTAGAGTTAACCTCTTTTAAAGTGGAAAAAAGCTTTAATGATTTTCTTTAAAAAACTGGATACCAAAGAGAAATGAAATTCACAGGATTCATTTTAGTTTCACGTTTTTCTAGTCTCTGAAGCACTTTATAAAATTACTAACTAGTAACAAACTCAGTTATTTGACATTTTCTAGTCTATTTTAGCTGTTAAAAATGCTCAGGAGTAATGGAAGGGACAAAATCCTGCAGGAGCCCTGCAAGTGTACTGTGAATTATCTCGATTTAGCTGTTTTTCAAACAGCTTTAACTAAAAGTTTTTAAGAGTTCTCTTTCTAGTCTGTGAGAATTCAGCTTACGTAAGTAATACACACTTTACCTTCCTGAGTACCCGGAAACTGCTTATGTAAGGTATTTTTCCACCTCACCTCTTCACCTTTCTCCCATTAAACTTTCTTCCAGGCCAAATGCCTTTGAGAAGTGGCAGTGAAGGAAACCAAAAGCCAATTTACTCTGACTCGTCTAACTCAGAGAAACTGATTAAATGCCTCATCCTTCTTCACACTCAAAACAAAGACTGACTTTCATTTAATACTGTGAAATCTCTCAGGTATACTCACAAGAGGAAGTAGAGTCCCCAGGATAAACCTGCGCCCCACACATTTGGGGTGACTCCTTGATAAAGTCCCCGCAGTCCGTCAAGTTTCCAAATGGTAGCCAAGCAATGGAGAATCCCTTTATATTTTGGTCTCAGTTCCAGTCCATCACTCACTGCATTAAGACACAGGTGACAGCAAAGTTCCAGCTCAGAACCATGTACACACACAGATGTTACATAATCAGATACGTAAGCCCTTAAGTAACACTTTAGGAAGTGTTAGACTAGCTCTTAAATAACCTATGTCTCTTAAGTGAACAGATTTCAACAATTAAGCTTTTTTTTTTGGTACCGGGGATCGAACTTGGGTCCTTGAGCTTGCGAGGCAGGCGGCGGAACCGGCCGAATTCAGTTTTATTTTTGCTATTTTTAAGGTTGAGGATTGAAGTTTCAAAATACATTATTCAAAAAATAAACTAGCCAGGAACCCCAAACTGCATAAACACCGCTAGCATCACCTAAATAAAAGGTGACCGGAAGGAGAATGAGGGGAACAAGGTAAACAGACCCCTCCCAAACACATGTGCCCAAGGACACACAGGGATGGACATGGATGGGACACGCATGGACAAGCCAACACCCAAAATCTCATGAGAGGACAGGCAGGTATCCTGCACTAAAACTGAGTGAGCTTTCCTCAGCTCTTCCAAAGCTGCTCTTGTTCTACCGCTCCGTGCAGCTCCGAGAACAACACTTCTGTCCCTGCGGATGCCTACGCAGACACCGGGCTCACCGGGAAGCCTTCTCCCTAACGTGTCCTTTCGATGCTGTAACTCTCAGACCAGCCGGCCTCTGTTCACACAGCCTTCTTCCTGCTTTAGGGAACCATCAATCTTCAAGCAGCACTGGCATTTTAAACAGCAGTCTTCTTGACAGTTTTGTAAAAAATATACTCTAGATCATACCTCGGCACTCCTCATTCCATGTTTGTTAGGTAACAGGAGAACCCGGGTGAAGGACTGTTTACAAAGCTACACGCGTGAGGAAAATCACAAGAAGGATGCGGCAGCAATGATGTCTTGTTGTGAGAAGTTACTGGATCCTAGGTGTAAAAGTATCTCAGCAGCAGACATTCTGTATTACGCGTAATTACTACTGTACGTTGTCACACTGTAGGTTTAAAATTAGAACTTATTATATGTAGTTTTTATACTGTTTTTCCCCGACTCAAGAGTACTTATAAACATTCCTCCTTACTATAAAAATAATTTCCAAAAATAAGACTTTCTAAAATGTGTTTTTTCTCATCTCAGGTAACCTATGATTTATACAATCACTTCTCTATTTGATATGTGCACAACAATCTGTGAAAATCATGTTCTCTTAGAATTAACTATGAGAAGGGAACTGATGTGGGTCAAAGCATATAAACTTAGTTCAAAATACACACAGAGACTGCCTTCCGGAACATTTATAAATTACAGTCCTCCGGCCACACATAGCTCAACTCCTGTCTGCTTGGCTCCACTTTACTGGGTAGAACAGAGCCTGGCAAAGAAACACTGTTTATTGCCGCCCAGCAAAAGAGGAAGAGTTGAGGTTCTTTCATCATTAACCTGTCACAATGTAACTGCGTGAAATGAGATTAAAGTGCACCAGGCTTTCTGCCCAAAATAACCAAATATATGTTTTGGAAAAGAACTTTGGGCATCCCAAAGTACAAAGAACTCGAAGGTGAAAAAATCAGGGAAAATAATGTAGAAGAGGACCTTGACTGGGGCTTCCTTAATGTCAAAGTAAAACTGCTGTAAGGATAACATACAGTAAATTTGTTTAGTCCAAAAAACTCTGTAATTGTCTTAAAAACATCTGCCTGTGAAAAATTAGTACACACACCTAAGTGCCTTTCCCATCACTGTGGAAATGGCCTGTGACAGCACTACAAGGTGCCGAGACACCAATGAAGAGAAAAAAGTTTTATACATGGGAAAGAGCCATACTGAAAGGAAAGACAACGGACTGGCTTTGAAAAAAGAATTGCACTACACCCTACTGCACTGCCTGATGTGCTGGATGGGAGTTTCACATCCTTTCCTCACCATAGATGAAGAACTTGTCTCCTTTGATTAATAAAACCATCCCTCTACCGGTGCTCTGTAATGACGTTTCAAAAACCACAGATGGGTCATAGAACCAACTGAGCAGATCGATAGCATCACTTCTTAATTTAAAGCAGGCTGGAATGGAAGGCAAATATAGATGACATCACAAATACCAAGAACAAGAGCGGTGCCGTGAAGCCATGCCTGTGTCCGACGAAACGGCAAAGGTCAAACCCGCTTCGTGCGCAGGGTTCTGGTCCGCACAGCTGGGGACGCTGCTCCACACTCCGGCCCCCGTTCTGCTGGGAGCCGTCACTCAGCATCCATCTTCGGCCTCCTTCCCAGAGCACGAGCATCACCCTGTCTGAAGCCTCCCGAGTGTCTCCCCCTTTATGTTTTGGCAAACGAGAAAACCACAGTCGGACTTTCTCACCTCCGCTGCATCCGGCCTGGGCCCGGGCACCCCTCAGGCGCTTGCTGAGGGCTCTCCCAGGGCACTCTGGAGTCTTCTCCCTTACAGCCGCTCTGCGGCAGCTAACCCGTTTCCCTTCCAAAGAGCTCTTCTTCTGGCTGCTTTCACAAATCCTCCCGTTTTTCTTCTCTGCCACTCGATTTTCCTGGCCTCCTTACAGGTTGTTTTACAGGCACGCTTTCCTCCCAACACGGTGGCCTCCCAGCCACCAGGCAGGCTCACTTGTGCTCGGCTCAGGCTTCTCCCCTCTCGTCTTGATCTCACTCCTAGCATCCAGTCCCGGGGCACTGCTTATACATGGGCTAAAAGAGGTCTCAAAACCTGGCACCTTCCGGGGTTGGGGAGTGTGGTTCAATGTAGAGGGCCCACCAGCATGTGTGAGAACCTAGATTCAAGAACTCAGTGAAAAATTTACGTTTGGTTTAATACCACATACATACTTGAGTAACCCTCTTGTTGCTAAATATTAATTGTATTAAGTGGGCTTATATGAAAGCATGGAAATCGCAGTAGGTTATTCAGCGCTGACGCGATCACCACTCACCTACACAGCATTTCCATTTATCTTCCTAAGTTTTTCTCTGCTCTATAACCCTTTCACAGCCATACCATTGGGCATTATTATTATTATTATTATTATTAATTTCCAGCACCAACAATAAAGAAGATAGGATTTAAAATCCAGGAAGATTCCCTTCTTATTTCTAGGGGTTGAGTCATTATTCATAAAAAGGCTTAGTCACTATTACCTTTTCTACTCACAAAACCACGACTTTAATACCCGTAAATTTTTCGTTTTATTTTTAAAAGTTAACAAGTTTCTGGCCTTCTCATTTGGCAACTGATCTCAATTTGGACTCCCTCCCCAACCAATATAAAAGTCCAAATTTTCTCAGTAACTACAGAAGTGTCCCTTAAGATATGTCTGGAAATGCTTCCTTTTCAATTTTATAAACATGTATTCTAATGTTTATTTTTAGTAATATAAAGAATAATTCTTTCCGGTATTCAATGTGTTTTTAAAAGTTTGGCACTAATGCTAGTATCAAAGGATATAGAATAAGCCCTATTCATTTTTTTAATGTTCATGAATTCCACTGTTTTTTAAACAATAAACTGTATCTAAGCAGCACATTTCTCAGCATCTCTAAAGTCAGAATGTGTCTGTAGCTCATCTCCTGAGCTCGCCATCCAAGTGGCCTCTGGCACATAGCCAGCTACTCCATGCTGTCCTCCCAGCCTTCCCAGCCCACTTAGCATGGTCCTTCTGGCCTATGTCCTCTCATCAGAGCCCCGGACCTGCCAGCCCCAGACTCGAAACTGAGGGCTTTTCAACCCGGCCAGAGCGCTGTGGGCTTTATCATTTCAAAGTCTGACTCTGAGTCCTAGATCGAGACCTTCTATCTGATCTTAACCCCTTACCTGTGATCTCAATCCTATTGGTTTCCCAATAAAGTACTGTCCCGCTTCGCCAAGATAACGAATCCAGTCAGGTACTTTTCCTTCCTGCCCTGTAGCACTGTCCTAAAGCCACCAGGCCATCAACACTTCTTCAGTGATGACCTCAATTGCAACCCTTCTACATACCTGCTGAAGACAGACGTCAAGGCACACAGGCCCACACCTGTGGCCAAGGCCAAAATCCTTTTATCTGTGTTCAGCCACTGCATTCTTGGGATCAGTGAAAGTAGTACGGTGAGTGATTAAACTCCAGAGGGTTCTACAGTTGCACTGCCTGGGTTCAAATCCCAGACCCATCTTAACAACTTCTGACTTGGCAAGTTAATCAATATCTGCTATCCTTATTTGTATTAAGTGGCTAATAAATTCACAGTATAGCTAATGAGAAGGCATCTAAAGCCTCGTTCCTGATAAACACACAGTGAAGGTTATATGCCTTTTCTAGGAATTTTCCTTCATAGACTGGTTTCTTGCCTTTAACTGTCAGGATATGAATTCTTTTATGGGAAACCCAGGACCTAATCTTCCATGAAACCTTTACAGCTGTAAGTGGTCATCAGTGATCCCTAATTATATTGGTAGTCTACCTGTATGTATATGGTTTTATCTATGTCCTGTGCTCTTCATTTGATGTTGCCTAGAATTATCTTTCATATGGCTACATCTCAAGCCTACAACTGAGTTCCCTAAGGGAAGAACTTTGTTACTTTTGCAGCCCAAACAGCAGTCTGCAAACATTAAGAGACATACATTAAGCAAGGTGTATCACCTAACTCTTAAGACAAACCGTTTCTGTAGGTTTAATTCTCAAGGCAGAAATTAACTTGTAGTAATAACTGAACTACCAGAAAAGAGTTTCCAAAGATCATCTCGAAAAGTTTCTTTCCCAGAATGCCGTGCTGAGGTTAGAGTCTAAAGTGCTTTGCTAATTTTAACATACTTCGTTCACGTCACACTTAGAAACAGGATTAAGATCCCACCATTCCCTTCACAGGAAGGACATCGCAATGCACCGTAAGGCCCAAAGCTGCAGAATCCCTGGGGAGAAATCCTCCGCACCTGCCAGGCGCCCCGCGGTGGCCCAGCAC